CTGTTGCACTGTTGCACCCGCCGGTGTGTGTGTGTGTGTGTGTGTGTGTGTGTGTGTGTGTGTGTGTGTGTGTGTGTGTGTGTGTGTGTATACGTGTATGTGTATGTGTATGTGAGCGTGTGTCTGTCCGTGTGACTCGTAATATGTGTCAAGAGAGTGAGGGGAGACTTCTCTATTTGTAGGTGACTGAAGCTAATGTGTTTATCACCAGAGGTCAGAAAGACAGAGATCTGTCGAAGAAACAAGTTTTGATCTGAAACCCGCTCCACAACACCGCCACATATGCGAAAGTAGCGGATTTTGTGAATAAAACAAAGCTTTGTCAAGCGAACTTCTGTGAAGAGGGGAAGGAAATAAGCCGGACACGGATATTTCTTTTTGGAAATCGTAATATGAAAAAGGAGCAGGCCGAGATATTAGGTTTTGTCCCTCAGAAAGAGATCGTCTACAACAAACTTCTCCCGTACGGAGACAAACTAGACCGCGAATCCAATGACATTTTGGCCCAGATTAAAGGGAACTTAGGTCGAGCTGTCCAGCTCCGTGAGTTATGGCCCGGGGTTTTACTTTGGACTCGGAAGCTCTCCACGTAAGTACATTCAAGACTCCAAAACTGCTTTGCTGTGGGAATTGAGCCTGTTTTATCAATAAACCGCAGGCAGAGCTGAATTACTCCGGTAGCTTGTAACGTTAGCCGTTAGCTAGCGTGCTAAAAGCTAAGCGCTACCTGAGTCACTCAGCTGCCCTTGCTCATATGTAAACATCACATATCTGTCTGCTAGTACTCCACGGTGACCTTTCATAATATCGAGAGTAATATTACCTCGGTCTGGTTCGTCAGCGTGGCTTCAGTCTGTAAAATGCAGGAAATGCAGGACTGTTGTAAGCTCATTTCTAAGCTAATCAGCTAACGGAGGCTAACATTAGTGCTGGATAAGCAGCTGCCACATGCATCACTGCAACTAGTGGTTTAGACATGGAGTCCTTAAAAAGACATTTTACTTGGAGGAGACTGCTTACATATTTGTTTCATGCCTTTATGGTTTGCCTTAATCATTTCGATCTATTTTAGTATGTATCTTATTGGCACTGATTCATGATTATTTTTGACCATGTTGAATAACAGACTCTTGCACATGTATATTAAACCTTATTTATGGATATAAGGGGTTATTGTTCTATTCAAATATTTAAGTTTTATGATGCATTATTTAATGACCCTTAAAGTCTTACATAAGTTAATGCTGCGTAACATGTTACCCCTTAGTTGTGTTAAGTGTATTACTAGTGGTTTTGACTGCTGTAGAATTTCCGTAGAGTTTGTATTACCCTAAATACTTGACATTATCTCTGCTTAAATGGGCAGTGTGTTTACAAACTTAATTCCTCATCTATTTGGCTTCTTGCCTCATCATCAGATTAAATTCAAGGGGTTTGTATTCATAGTGGGCATGTTGTGTAGAATTGAATATAATATACGGTTCAGTGAGAGAGTGAGTCATTTGAGCCGATTCAGTGAAGAAGTCAGTGAATTTTTTCAATTGTAATAATTGTAGCTGTATAGGTGTGTGTTTACAGTATATACCCTGCTCTCCCATACTGTTTTCAAGGGTACTACAGTTTAATAGTTGCAGAGGAAACTGCCAACTTGAAAAAAAAAAAATATATATATATATTTTTTTAAAGGGGGATAAGTTTGAGCTTTTAACATTTAGTTGAATGTTTATAAAGGCTCTCTTATATAATCTATTTTGAGGACCCATTCCACTATTTATGCCATGCTAGCCTGACTCCGCTTTAGTCAGAGTCACAGAGCTCTCTGTCTCATGATCACATGGTGGCCTTCGCGCTTTACATATTTAGTGATAAGGTCAAAAGTGCCCCACAGATAACTGATGGCCATATGTTCTTCCCTCCCAAACTATATATACAGTTGAGGTCAAAAGTTTACATACACTTTGCAGAATCATACAAAATGCATGTTATTTTTGATTTAGTATTGACCTGAATAAGATATTTCACATTAAAGGTGTTTACATATAGTCCACAAGAGAAAATAATAGTTGAATTTATAAAAACGACCCCGTTCAAAAGTTTGCGTTCACTTGACTCTTAATACTGTGTTGTTACCTGAATTATCCACAGCTGTGTTTTTTTGTTTGTTTAGTAATAGCTGTTCATGAGTCCCTTGTTTGTCCTGAACAGTTAAACTGTACTAAGTACTAAATAAAAAGTATGCAAAAAAGCATTTTGTATGATCTCTGTTATTTTGGTAAAATAATTAGCCGAACATTTAGCAGATTCTGCAAGATGTATGTAAACTTGTGTATATCAACTTTATATATATATTCTTCCACCCAGGCTTTCCGAATAGTCACTGTATTATTATTGTATTGTATTAAATATTATTCTGTTATAATACTACTAGTTATTTTGGGGTGGTGGATGCTCACTTTCATATTTGGTGGTTTATTATTGCTGTATTGTGTTGATTTAACAATAAACTTAAAAATAGTGTGCAATCTCTAGACTTAGTTTTGGTTTAGTGAATCATGCTGTTTCTCTCTTGCTCTTACTACTCTGACATGATTTCTGCTCTTTTATAGGTACCTTCGGCTGTACGGGAGAAAGTTCAGCAAGGAGGACCATGTGCTCTTCATCAAGCTTTTGTACGAGCTGGTCACCATCCCCAAGCTGGACATCAGTATAATGCAGAGCTTTGCACGACTCCTCATCAACTTACTGAAGTACGCAGAAGTGTCCCCATCAAACACCTTACCATTGCCACACATTTGAGAATTACACAGTAGATTTGTTGTTGGATGATTAAAATGATTATTTACATGAATGAAAGATTAATTGTTAAAAATAATTATAATGAAATTCCATATAAAAAAATCAAAATATAAAAATAAAACAAGGTAATTCAAATGAAATCAAGGTAATTCAAAGTTTATTGTTATTATATGAGAAAATGTTATTTCCATATAATTGAATACAAGGCCTTGACTTTGATTAATGCATTATTATTATTATTAATGATAATATAGAATTATAATTTAGTTATGTTTTAATTATAATTTAGTAAATTCCTAATGTTTCTGAACACACTTTTATTTTAACATACAGGAAGAAAGAACTGCTGTCCCGGGATGACTTGGAATTGCCTTGGAGGCCTTTGTACGATCTCTATGAGAGTATCCTGTACTCAAAAACTGAGCATCTTGGTCTTAACTGGTTCCCAAAGTAGGCCTCTTGCTCTTTTAATCTTCCTACCTATCTCTGCTGTAATCTCACTGATTCTAGTTTGTTGTGAACTATGGAAACAAGTCCAAACAAAATCTTCCATGTGACTGGATACTATGTTTTTTAATAGCATGGTACCCGATGACCAGGCCCACATGGACAGTGCTCTGCTGACTTTAAATTGCCATCATTCACAAAGTTTTACACTGTTTTAAAGCTCTAGTTAATTTGATTATGCTTTCAGCTACTGTATATACCATATATTTATAATTAGTTATACAATATTTAAACCCATTCAATAGATTTCCATCCCAAAATCAGCACAGAAAATATGAAATTAAGTCTTCAGTTTCTTTGTGGGCCTGTTCATGACATATTTGCAGAGATGTAAAGTAGGGATGCTCCGATCAGGATTTTTGCAGCCGATACCGAGTACCGATTTCTTGTCATGGTTGATCGGCCGATGCGATTCTGATACTTCAAGCTTTATACAGACAGTTTCATCGGGCGCACCCGCCTGGCCCGAAGTTAACTTCCGGTCTATGTTTGTTTATCAGTCTGGCTATGGCGCCGGCTACAAACGCAGTTAAAGTTAAAGGGTTAGTTCACCCAAAAATGAAAATTAGGCTGCGTTTTACTCACCCCCGAGGCATCCTAGGTGTATATGACTTTCTTCTTTCAGACGAATCCAGTTGGAATCTTTCAAGCTGTTTAATGCCACTCAGCAGGTGTTGCATTGCTTCAGTCCAAAAGAACTTAAATAAAAATCACACATCCATAAAAAAAGTATCTCACACAGCTCCGGGGGGTGAACAAAGGCCTTCTGTAGCGAATCGATGCGTTTTTGTAATAAAAAATATCCAAATTCAAAACGTAATAATCACTTGAATCTAGCTTGCGCTCACTGTTGTAGACAGAAGCAGTTCCGGGGGAATGACTTATGAGGTCAGCATTGCGCAGCATGCTCCCAGAGCTACTTCTGTGTACAACTGTTGGCGCAAGCAACATTAAAGTGATTATTACGTTTTGAGATGAGTAGACTGAAGTTGGGCTCAGGTGGTTGTGCTGTGGGATGTGTTTCCCATACATTTATTTATTTGTGGTGCTCGTCACAATATCAAAACTGACCGATTTTCCAAAAGGCTTCGTTGAATAAACATGAGCACATACTGTATGTTTAAAAATCAAAACGAGGCGCGGGTGTTTTTATATCACTGTATTTCTGAAGGAAGACTATTTTTAGAAAATGTTTAAATTTTCATTTAATCTTGCATGTTATATGCCTGATAAAGCAGCGTTTATGAGCTCAGCGCTGCTTTTTGTACAGCCGTTACTGGGGAAACCTCTGTTTCTCCCGCTTTAAAGAATCTCCTGCTGGCAGAGAATTAATTTGCATTTTCAGTAAGTCCATCTGATTTAGGCAGCAAACATATTTTACTTTTCCTATATCCATGGGCGCTGCGGATAATCTGCAGGTCAGGTAATAAAAAATGCATTCTGATTATTTGCGGGTGGATAAAATAAATCATAAATGATGCAAATATTAACTACATTTTTAAATAAATTTTTTTCATGAGGCAGACGATTTCGTGTTCGTTCGCCTGATCGGGAAGTTGCAGTGACTGAAACGGTGACATTCCAGATAAAGTTTGAAAGGAGTAAAGCCTGTGTTAATGCTGTTGACTGGGCTAATATGGCCAAAGAAGATATTTAGTTTTATAAATAAATGTTCATTTAAAAGCAGCCCACGATCAGCGTAGCTATTATGTTACCGTTATCCCTTACGGTGCCGACAAGATTTTGTTCCATCCTCCACGCTGTGACAACTCACAAAAGGCTATTTTTAGCCAAGCTGTGCGGAGAGCCGTTTCAGAAACGTTCCATGGCTGGCTGGTATAAACACAAGCATTGACTAGAGCGGCCGCAATCAGCTCCGGTTCCCATGGAGCTGTAGACGTGTGCAGTGAGGCGCAGATCAGCTCTAACGTCACTGAATCTGCTGTTAAAAATGAACCATCCATTCATTAAAATCATCATGCAAAACATGCACATTTTTAATTGTTTCTCGAAACATCATCGCATTTCCACACTAGCGATGACATGACTGTGGCGCCAAATCATTTATGTCCCCACGCATCATGTACGTCGTCACGCGTTGACGTTAGTGGTCAACCGATATGGGTTTTTGACAGCCGATGCCGATATCTTGGGAAGCAGGGTGGCCGATGGCCGATATAATTGTATTTATTTTAAATTTAAGAAATTTGAAATAATTTGAAATGGATTCAAATAATTGTGTAAAATAAACATACTTATACTTTAGAAGACAAAGCATTTTTCACAAATAAATAAATATTTAATAAAAATCTAATTAAAAAGGAAGTAAACACTGTAACCAACAGGGCACTCAGTATTCTGGGAAGTTTGTGTGCATTGGGAATTTTTTTATTTATTTTTTTAAAGCCAAGTTAACACTCATTTTACATACACCACACAATGAAAATGACATGAATATGACAGTGTGCAAATGCATAAAGTGCAGCATAATTTGAAATCACTAGTTTAAATTTAGTTGATCGTGCATCTCCGACCGTCACGCAGAGATCACGCGATCGTGCAGGATACAAATGCACACTTCACAAGATCTCAACTAGATTCGACTAAGTCTGCAAGGTTTGTTTAATTAAACGTTCATTAGTCATTCAAAGATTTAAATGATATCAATTCGTATTTGCTGAATGCTGACGGCAAACGAGAAAGTATTATAATGTTTGCCTTTCTATTCCTAATAATATTAAAGCTGCTGTTCTCAGCGCCATCAAAATAAAAGTCCCGCCTTTGAAAAATGCCAAATATTGGCAGATATATCGGCCTTGGCGATATATCGGTCGACCACTAGTTGACGTCATCAAATTGTGATCGGTTCGTGAAATCGGCCAAGTGTAGTGAGTAACGATCGAGTCATAAAATGTGATTATCGGCCGATGCCGATCGATCGGAGCATCCCTAATGTAAAGTGTTTCTGTATGGTGAACACGCTTATGACATATGATTCATTGTACAGGGCAAGGTGATAAAAATTATCAGTGCCAAGATTGGTTAATGGAAAAGAAGGACCCTGACGTGCTGCCTAAGATTTAGCAATTTGCTTTATCTTGTTTTATTTTATGTTCCCACATTTTAGGCCTTTTAACTGAGCACTACAGACTCTTGTAACACAACCATTCCCATTTAACACACCCAGTATTCTAAGAAGAACCTATTAAACAGTTACAACTGTGAGATTGATGTTATTGGTATGTCTAGCATTGGCTTATGCATTTTTCCTTTTCTCACATTCAGTTATCGAGCAGAAGCCTCAACTAAACAAAAAATGCTTAGTATTGTGCGCAAGCGGTAAGCACAGCTCATGTTTTACACGTTGCACTGTACCTTTCCAAGGGCAGCCGCTTATATTTATTTGCATGTGTCCAAAATGAAAAGCAAATCAACAATCTAAATGAAAATCCCATCACAGCTTACACCTGCATTTGTATTTATAATCTTTGTTTCTGTAGTAGCTTAGTCGTATCCACTTAATAACATGCTTCATAAACACATCAGGAAATGGTGCTCCTTTTAAAGTTTCTAATATTTCATCTTTGTCTGTCAAACACAATTCATGGATGCTCAGAGGGGTTGGTCAGCTCTTATATTTAGACTAAAAGCTCTCCTGACAAACTACAACAGCACAATGACAAAAAACTTGTTGTAAATAACTGTTCTGCAGTACACCTCCTCCAGGAATGGGACAGACTCATCGCTGTGACTTCATTCTCTTTATCTAAGAATCCTTTGATTGTTCTTACTGGTGGGCGAAGGGTTTATATTAAAAGAAGTCACTAATCAAAGCTGTGTTTTCCAAAAGCATCATAAGCCTATAGAGTGCAACAGTTGTGTTCTGGAAGTTCAAAACTATGTTCATTTTCTCCATAGGGAAATAATTAAAGACAGACCAACTGTGAGTTTCCGATGTTGTTAAAGGGATAGTTCACCCAAAAATGAAAATTTGATGTTTATCTGCTTACCCCCAGGACATCCAAGATGTAGGTGACTTTGTTTCTTCAGTAGAACACATTTGATGATTAAGTCCAACCGTTGCAGTCTATCAGTCGTATAATGCATGGCAATGGTAACAAAATCTATGAGAGTAAAAAAAACATGCACAGACAAATCCAAATTAAACCCTGCGGCTGTGACGACACATTGATGCCCTAAGACACGAAACGATCGGTTTGTGCAAGAAACCGAACAGTATTTGTATAATTTTTACCTCTAATATACCACTATGTCCATCTGTCTTTGGGCGCCTGCACGGCATCCGATGCGTGAGGTGTGTACGCGCTTTGGCGTAGTTTACGCACGCCTGAAGTTATGGTTGATTGCTCTTCGGCTGGATATCAACACACTGTGATGAGTCGGCTGCCTCCCCCTAATTATCAGCATCACCCCGTCCCTTAATCGCCACCCTTCGCCAGGCTCCCGACATGAGTGGGTGCATGTGAAAGGAGGGGCGCTGAAATAGCCAGGGCTGGCGGCGTGTGATGGGGCACACCTGAACCGAATGGAGCCTCATCACCGCCGCTGTTTAAATGCCAAGCGCGCCTCTCCTCGGGAGACCGGTCTCTTCCCCGTGCATGCACGCTGGTGTCCTCGTGGGTCCAGGAGGGGTGCGTAGAAGGACTCCCGTGCCACCAGATTCGTGAGCTGCCGAACCCGCAGTCCGGACGAGAACCGCACCCGTTACACGGCCGTCGGGCAAGGATGCCAGGCCGTCTAGTCCCTTCAAGCGCCGTGGGCAGAGAGCAGGATGAAGCCGCTGCCCCTCGCGGAGAAGGGAATGCGAGCGGCCGCCGGACTCCGCCCCTTACCTGGACCCTTCCTTCCTTCCTGACCACTGCCCTTCCCTTCACGAACCCTGCAGCACAACGAGGACACCAGATCCTCTGTTTATTTTGGACACTTGATTCCCTTTTTTCTGGACACTGTTTATTTTCTGTTAATAAAAGCCTCTCCAAGGCCTGATGCCACACCCACTGTGTCTGTCGTTTGCTCCTCCCGCGACAACACCCGTTAACGTAAACTATGCCAGAGCGCGTACAAACCTCATGCACCGGAATTCGTGCTCGTGCCCAAAAACAGTTGGACATAGTGGTGTATTAGAGGTAAAAAATTATATAAATACTGTTCGGTTTCTTGCACAAACCGATCGTTTTGTGTCTTAGGACATTAATGTGTCGTCACGAGCCGCAGGGTTTAATTTGGATTTGTCTGTGCATGTTTTTTTTTTTACACTCATAGATTTTGTTATGCCATGCATTATACGACTGATAGACTGCAACGGTTGGACTTAAAAATCATCAAATGTGTTCTACTTAAGAAACAAAGTCACCTACATCTTGGATGCCCTGGGGGTAAGCAGATAAAGATACATTTTTCATTTTTGGGTGAACTATCCCTTTAATTGATGGTGTAACTGATTTTTAAAGGGGTCATATGATGTTGCTAAAAAGAACATTATTTTGTGTATTTGGTGTAATGAAATGTGTTTATGCAGTTTAAGGTTAAAACGCGTCGATTTTTACAAAGCTCATCGGTCTGAAAAGCTAGGTGTGCTCTGATTGGCCAGCTATCCAGTACATTGTGATTGGCCGAATACCTCA